GCCATCCCTAGCTTACCCCCACCCTCTCCCCAATTCCCCTCACCTACTAGAACTGAATGAAGCCTATATCCACTGTTGTATCTAAGCAAGTTTGTTACCCTAACCACAGCCTAGGGATTTCAAAAGAAAACATCCATTGTAAAAAAAAAAGATTGTACCAGATTTTCTACAAGGTTTATTCCATACTGCCTTAATGTATGAACATACTTGAGCTCGGGGGAAAGTGATTAATTTCTTGAAAACGCTAAGGTCACACTAATTGACATGACCTGTGTAATTAAGCAGTCTCTGTTTACACACCAGAAGCTCTGCCGCTGTGTGGCTGAGTTTGCTTGACAGAATGTCTTTACATGTCAAGAGATCAACAACCTTTCTTGTATCCTCCACAGTCACCTACACAGGCCCCTGATTGCTGTTCAGAGGAGACACGCTAGGCACAGCTGTATGAAGATCAGACTGGCCTGGCAAGCAGATAAAATGGGTGAGAGAAAAAGAGCACCCATGACAATTGGGAAGAGCCCACTTAATAGGCAGGAGAGCGAGTTTTCAATCAGATGTCTCCAGGTCTCGGATTTTCAATGTAACTGGGAAAAGCCACAGGGAGATATAAAGAATACACCAGTTTTCTCATGCCCAAAAAGACACTCTCTCACTCCCCCTTGGAGGCAGCAGCAACATACTAGTAAAAATATTTGAAACCAGCTTCCCACTTAGTGTGCTATGAGAAAAATGATGGAAATTATAAGTCTTGTTCATAGGAAGCATTTGACCACTGTCTCCTAACGCATCTCTATCAGACAGGATAGCTTCGGGGAAGACTAAACCTTCCCCTCCTGGTTAACTCCTAAGATCTGGGAACTTCAGTAAGATTTCTTAACAGAGTAATCTGAGATGCCACTTTACACTGAGGGGCTGCTTTACTCAGGCTCCATCTGGGTAAGGGGTCTGTCTCGCCCTAGAGAACTGGCCTAAAACTCTACCGCTTATGTGAAGCTCAGGCAGTCTTCTGAATAATAGCTTCTTTTCCTAAAGTTCATACAATTACAAATTGACCAACACTGAAACAAGGCTCAGGTTTCTCCCCCTCCACACAATTCTACCCTCTGCTTGGCAAACTTTGGTGCTGTTCCAATGTTCTTCATCCAGATGGTATCTTTAGGTTCTATTAGGGCAAATGCCTCTTTTGAAAACCCCTCCTTAGCTTTGCTGAGATTCCAGCACATATTTGTGGGTAGCCACTGTGGCTCTCAGATGTTGAGAGACCTCCTTATTGTCTCATTTGGTACCTGCCCAACAGACTCTGGACAAGTTCTTTATAGTTCCACAACCTTAGATAACATTTGAGTCAGACTGCCTCAATACTTAATAGATGTGTGACTTCGGGCAACTTGCTTACCTTCTCTAAGCCTCAGTTTCCTCATCTGTAAAATCCATAATCCACATTTACACATTCCCAACAGGGATATTGTGAAGATAAAAATGATAATTCATGTAAAATGCTTATCATAATATCTCTCACATCAGTACCCAATAAATGTTAGCTTTATCACCATCATTATGGCCCATGTCCATAAATGTACATCAAGGTACACACAGGGACATGTATAATTATACACATGTATATGGAACACACTGATATAGACACAAATATAAATAGTTCTCTCCCCAGTACTTGACGCAGTTAGGAACAAACCAAGACAGGGAACATAGGAAGAGAAACCAGCTTGGACGCCAGCACAAGGGAAAAAAATAAGGAGGATGACCATTGAGTTTGGGGGCTCATTGAGTTGAAGTTCCTGGAAATATCCAGCAGGCAGCTGGTAGCTCGGACTGAATTGGGATATCAGGTCTCGAGGAACCTGACTCAAGAATTCTCAGTGTCGAAAAAGTGGTTAAGGTTCTGGGGGTAGAGAAGATATTCAGAGATCCTATACAGTGAAAAGAGTTCTGTATCTGAAAAGGAAATTTGGAGAACACCGACATTCATAGGAGAGCAGACAAGAGCATCTCTTAGGAGGAGCTGAGAATGAATGAATGTTGTTATGGAATCCAAGGAAAAAGATGGACTCAAGAAGGATGGTGTGGCTACCAGCATGAAATGATGCAAAGAAACAAGACTGGAGGAAAAAAAATGGAAAGGTTGAATAAGAGATATGTGAAGTTTTAATTGAATTCTATTGAGGCAATTCATCCATTCTCTGATTGCATAAATACCCATGTGCCTACATGCATAAGACCATGTGCTAATTGCATAAAATGATAATTCATGAAATGTGTAAGCATACACAGATACAAAACTAAAGGAGTCAGCATTCATTCTGTCATAGGCTCCCTCCATCCTCTGCCAGGAAGGAAGGAGTGAGTGATGGAACAAAGCAGGTTAAATCTGAGATGCAGTAAGGAATTTGTCATTGCTGATAGAAAGAGATACAGCTCTTCTTCAACTCAAACACTGACTCTGTGGTGGCCAAGGTAGCTGCCCCTATTGAGACACATCCACCTACTTTAGGACCAGTTGGAGAATCATAGGAAAGAGCATTGTCATGGTTCAGATAAAGCATTATGTATTTGAAGGATAGTATGACGTGTGTCAGGCAGATCTCATACCTAGACAAAGAGTGTGCTCTTTGAGATAAAAGCACTGTCCCCGAGAAGAGTCCGCCAGAGGTCATCAAGTATAGGATTGAACCAGTGATTCTCAACCAGCAACAATTTTGCACTCCCACCCCAACCAGGGGACATTTGACAAGGCCTGGAGACATCTTGGTTTGTCATGACTGGGGGGGAGGGGAGTATCTCTACTGGCATCTAGTGGTAGAAGGCCAGTGACAACTGCAAACACAGGACATACCATTCCCCCCATCCCACCCCTCACTCCCCACAAAGGATTAACCAGTCTAAAATGTGAATTGTGCCCAAATTGGAGAAACCCTGTACTGAAATAATGACCCAGCTTTAGTTTACTGCAAGTATTTTTTCCAATGGCTTACATTTTATTTTATCATTTATAAATTACATATGCATGCAAAATGCTGTCTTTCCTTCATATGTTGTAAAATAAGCAGAATCATCATTTTTACTCTATTTTACAGTTGAGGAAACTGAGGCTTTCTGGAAATCTAACTCATGTCTCCTCATCTCAGTAGGCCTTCTATTAAACAAAAAGTAACTCTTTTGTCTGAAAAGTAAAACTTTCTAGTCTCAAAAATAACAGACTGAATTGGTTTCTCATCTCACATAAGAGCTACATTCCTATAATTCAAGGCTTTCAGACATTTTACTAGCAGGTCCTATGAGGGCAAACAAGTCCCCAGAAGTCTTACACAAATGCTCTTTCTTTAGGCTCCCAATGTCACCAAAGTCCATCTCTAGCTCTGCTTCCCTGAGAAACACAGCAAAGTTGATCCTGGTATTCAAAAGCCATTAGACATGTCTCTCAGATATGAATTGGTTTGTGCCTGGAGATGCTTCGTTTCTAACCCAAGCTTGTTCAAACGAGATATATGGCTCCTTTCAAGGTCAAAGCAAACTACCAAACAGTTTATACTAAAATTCACCCTCACATTTTAAGACACTTAGCAACACATACTTAGTGGCATCATATGTGTTGTTTTGCCCTCAAAGGTGACTCCAACGCAACCCAAAAAGTCCTGTGTGGGAATGAGAGTGCCCAAGTCTACCAAAATGGGATCCGAATCTAGCCAGGAGAAACATTTTCTGGGAAACTAGGAATTTAAGGATTCTCCCCCATCATCTCTGTTAAGACAAAAGTTGGCAAGGCCAAAATGATTTTAGAGAAATGCTTCAGATCTCAGGAGAGAATGTCTTCTTTTTTTCACTGAATTCATTCTTTCATGAGACCAATAAGTCTCACCCCTTTAAAAAACAATCATCTTAGAGATTAAGAGATCTTGACATTCAAAAATCAATGCTCAGAATCATCCCTTCCCTTTCTCCATCAGAGACTGTGCAGTTAAAAATTTTCAAGAGCTTCTCAGAGATCATACATTTCAAACTACTTAAAGCTGACTATACCTAACAGTATACTATAAGCACCATACAGACCTTATGGCCATACCTATATGGGTCATGATTCTGATGGGGAATTTAACATTGGCCATGCAAATGAGTTAGCCATAAAATTAGACAGAGAGCAACACGGGAGGGGGCTAGTACCTTGCTACTCAAGTATGGCCATGGCATTGGCATCACTAGGGAGCTTGCTAGAAATGTAGAATTTCTGCACCCCCTCCCCCCAGACCTCAATTAGCATTTTAACAAGATCCCCAGGGGATTCTTGACTTTCCAGTTTGAGAAGCACCTACCTAGAACTTAACCACCTTTACTAAAACCCAACTCCCATTCTGTGTCTCAGAAGTTACCACGTTTGTTCTCACGTTCTTTTTCCTTTAGAAAATGCATAATTATGTGAGGTTAGCATACCACTCATGCTTTTAATGGTGGCAGATCGGATGGATGCTTCAGGACATTTACATGAGCTGCACAAGGACATTTCTGAAACAGAACTGTCACCCCTGTCAGTCTAGAAACACCCTGCTTCTTAAGGGGTCCATTTTTAATGATAATTGCTACTAACAATTTCCAAGGATAGAAGAACAGAGAGAGAGGAAGGAAGAAGGTAGTAAATTCTAAAAACAGAACAAAGCTCTTATGTACCAGCTTTCCAGTTGTAAACTTATAGGCAAAGAATTCATTGTTTCTGTGTACTTCACTTAATCTGCAGTAGTGTAAGCCTGTGAGTCCATTCTGGAAGCCACCCTAGGCTCAACCAGCACACACAGGTGGTGTGGTCCCAATTCTTCTCTAATAAAAACAACAACTTCTAGACAGCAGAGACCTGAGGGACTAGGAGCCTCACCTGCTCTTCACTCTGGGGAAACAACCGTACTCTCTATATTCTGCCTCAGTCTTTTTTTTTTTTTACTCTCTCCTGATATTCATGTCATTATTGATATTTTAAAAAGACAAGACAGACCCACCTGGAATCTCCGCATATCACGTGGGTTTCCGGCATTCTTTAGGCAATTTTGGTTACATTTGAGGAAAAATTTCAAGAAGAACCTGTGAAGAAAGAAATGATCGTGGTTAGCATTTCAGTCCTGACACAGAAAGGAAAAAAGTAGTAAGTCGCTCCTGGGCGGTGTATCCTAGGCCAGTTTTCTGAAATATTCAGAATGGTGTTAGAACCAGTATTTCTTTGAAAGCTTTAGCCTTTGCTTGGCATCCCAGCTGGATGGACGGCTCTCAGTACTGCCAGCAGCTCTCACAAAAGCATTAAGCCCCCAAGGAAGGGTTCTCACTCAGGCAGAGAGAAAGTCTTCACCCAATTTAAGGTAGGTTCCAATTGAGTATAATTGCCTGAGAATTACTCACGGTCCCTAATAACATGTAAGTCAAGCCCTGTAAAGTCAAGATTATGAACCAGCAAAATACATGCTGAATGACCACAAGGAAACAGTAGACACCTTTTAACTTAGCATCTCCAAATAAAATACCCTAGTTTAGTAGTACCCATGAGAAGTAGGTAAAATTCACATACTGACTAAAGTCCTTTGGCTTCTCAAAGATTTCCTATACATGAGGCCCAGGGGCTTTACTTGCTAGGGTGACCAAAGGTCCCACCTTGCCAGAAACAATTCCAGTTGTCGCCTGCTGTATTAGTGTATTAATAGTGCCCACTTTAACTTGCAAAAGCGTTCTAAATTCGATGGTCACCCTATAGCTTTCTGAGTTATTTCTTATGTCGCAGTGGTTTGTTAAAGTCCATCAGGTAAAGGAAGCAGATATCAAAGGCAGCCTTCTAGAGCATTCATGTTGGCCACCTGCATGTTCCACACCTGTCCAGGTTTGGGAAAAGAACAATTTTAAAAGCCACCTTAAGATCTTCATTCCCTTTCTCTTAGGCCTGTGGATTTCAGACTCAAATAATTTCCCAAAATATCAGAATGCATTAAAATGCTAGTCAGTGAAATTCTTGTAAGTATAGAGGGCAGGGAGGCTGGGGAGGTGGAAGGATTGAGCAAAAAAGAAAAAGAAAGAGAGAAAAAACTCATTGACATGGACAACAGTATGCTGATTGTGTGTGGGGGAGATGGGTGGGTGGAGGTGGAAGAGGGTACAGGAGGGATAAAAGGTGATGAAAAAAATAAAATAAAATGAAAAAAAATTTTTAAAGAAATTTTCCCTTCTTCATCTTTCCCCCACTTGAAGTCTACAATGGCATAAGAATCCCACCCTGGTACACATACTTTTGTGAAAGAGTAGAACTCAAATTTGGATGGAGCCTGCATTCTTAGCCATTGTGCTATAATAGTTTTAGTAATAACAGAAGTAGTACAGTACTGATATGAACACTAATTGTACTATCAACAGCAATTGTACTAAGAAGAGTAAATATGAGTAATTGTACAAGCAAGAGGAATTATTAGTATTATCTCTACACTAGCAACGTAAATATTTTAGGAGCGGGCACTGCCATTCTCTCCCCTCCCTTGTTCCCCAGGGTTGATAATATTTGCCGCCTGTGTGTGTTTAAGCCATTTGAGCCCAGAGCCGACAGCCAGATTCAGGTTATGTTAGAAGGAGCTGTCAGCACACCCTCTGGCATCTTCAAGTCAGACAACTGCTAGCCACCGTGAGGGGGTCCATCTGGTGCCAAAATGGGTTCTGAAAGACAGGCAAACAGGACGCAGCTTTGCCAGAGAGAAACAGAATCAAGGGAGTGGGGATCTGCCTCCAGGATGAGCAGGGGCAAGGCGCCTGTCAGCAGCCCATCGTTAGCACAAAAGCTATGCCGGGCACACACCGGATCCCCGTTACCCTAAGCTGCCCTGTCACTCGGCATGCTGGCAGAAGCTCCACAGAGGATCCCTTGCTGAAATTGAAGGCCTGACCATCTGTCGTGGGGGAGAGACAGCGTCAACTGGTGCCTGGGGCCCAGCTCAAGCCCTTATGTGGCAAAGACGCTCTGAAAGGCCGATTCTTCTGGGGAGAGCCAGCTCTACCCCAGGGGGAGCCTCAGAAATTCTTTCAAAGTTTTCCCCTAAGTAGATGCCAAGTGCCTGACCCTTACGATCACGCTTCCTTAAAGGAACCAAGAGGAATTAGAAGCAGGAGTTAAAAATATCCCACACCAACAGACAGAGTTAGACGTGGCACACAAATTCGGGGTAGTTTTTATCGGGGCAGCTTTTAAGGCATTTGTAAAGCCGGGGAGACACGTCTGCTGGCCCAGGGGAAAGGGCTCAGATTCCGAGGGGGCTTTTCACAAAGCGGAGGTTCTTGTAACTGAAAACCTCACTTTTGTCTGGTGAATTACCCCAGTTTGTGTGGCGGGTGTGTTTGATAAAGTGTGTCAGGAGAAAGTGTGGCAGCCTTGCCCCAACCGTGGGAAACGGACCTGCAGCAGGACAAAGCCCCTATTGACCCTGTACAGTCCCAAAGAGTTCCATAAACTCTGAGAAATAGCCCAACCAGGACCCAACTCCAGTCTTTTGGGGCTGGGGGGAAGAGTGGTGAGAAACCTGACACTTTATCGTTAACTTTCAATATGAATAATGCCATCTTGTGTTCCTACGTGTGTTATACTATTCAAAGCACGTGTATCCCCAGTATCTCATTGAACCCTCACAGAAGTCATATAAATTAGGTGTGCCAGAAATTATCAACCCATTTAAAAGGCAAGAATATAAGACAATAAAATTAAGATACTTCCTGCAGCCAAAACTAAACTAATACATAGCATTACTAAAAAGGACTCTTTATACTATCTGTTTTTTTCCCCATGAATTAGAGGACTTAACAAGTCATCTTAACCATCACTTAGTCTAATTTCCTCATTGTGCATATGAGAAAATTGAGAGAGAGCAGGAGATGTGGTAACAGGTACACAGTTTTATTAGTTATAAGAGCTAGAACTAGCATCCTTCACTACTAGTTGTTTGGGTTTTCCAATATAATGTTAGCTTTTCAAAATCAACCCAATAAGAGCTCCATACTTTGACATTGAACATTTTTAGTCTACTACCTCAATTAGGAAAGTGACGGTCATAAAACCAAGTGTGGCATCGTATTAAAAATAGTGTTTAGGTTCGTCGGTCAGGCGAATGTAAGACATTGGCCTATCAGTAAACATTAACTGCATCGAACACAGAGGTTGCTAGAACAAAACTGTTTATTCAATGGTTAACTGATATCACATTTTATCAACCAATAGTTATTCAGTATATTAGGTAGCTTCCGTGTGACTAGCATGGTACTGGACACCAGAGGTACCTGCAAGCTTTCCCAAAAGGAAAATTCACTGAATTAGCCACCAGGATCTGACTCATCTATATAAGGATGCAAAAAACAAAAAGCCAATTCTATATAACCAGCACATGGCACAGGACTCACAACCCAGTGGGTTTCCAGTAAATATCTGTTCAACTAAACAGAATCCAGGACCTTTACAATACAGACAGTAGTGGAGTATACTGGACAAGAGCTAGGGTTGGAGCTAAGACAAGCCTGGGTAAATTTAGACAATTCCCTTGACCCTCCCTCAGTGGCCTCATTAAAATGTGGGAATAACACTATCTCTCTCCCAGGACTACTGTGTGGTTTTCATCATGATTCTAGCTTCACTGTTGAATTAATTGTGTGACTTTAGACAAGTTATTTTACTTCTCTGTGCCTCGATTTTCTCACCTGTAAAGGGGGAGGGGGTAACAGGCCCTACTTTAGAGGGTTATTGATAATTAAATGAGTGTCATATGTGGAGTGTTTGAATAGCAATAAGCATAGAAAGAGTAATAATTATTTTCATCATTTATCCCTGTGAACTGGTCACTGCCTAGCACTCAGAAATGTTCAGATTTTCAGATACAAAAAATATTCTCCTCTCTTTGAATGTGAAGGTTAAGCATACGTTCATTGAATGACCGACAAAAAGGAAAGAGGAAGCAGAAACCAAGGAGAGAAAGTATGACTCCAACAGCTTGATCCAATGGCCAAGACACACATAAAGAAGAGAGGTAGCCGCTTAAATCATGGGGGACTCCAGCTAGTCACAACTGAAGGGCACACACAGTAAAACCGTCCATTAAGCAACAGCTTGTACATCATTAATTATTATGCAAAGCATTGCGATAGATCCAGGCTGAGCAGGTTGAGTTTTTACCTCTCCCACCCAAATTCTGAAAAATCACGTTTGGATGTTTTCAGCTGCTCTCAGAATGTCCAGGCTGGAAAAGAACAGCATCAAGACACACCTAAACCAAGACATAAAATCCCCCATTTGCAGTCTTAAGGCTCCCTGAAAGTTCCTCTGACTTATGCCTGCAGATGGTTATGTGGCAGACGATCCTTCCCAAACATATTCAGGACACGGAGACTCACACTGACCTGATGCTGGAAACAGCTGTGTGGAGACAACTGTGGGGTCCCTTCTGTGTGAAGCTCCAGCTGCTCCCACACAGACACTCACTGGAGGGTGAGAAGGAAATGCCTCATGATTCAAAGGGCCTCTTTCCATGAACTGCATTATTATCTTTGCTTTGACAATGAAGCACAGAGCTGTCTGCCTCCAAAGACCAAATCTACTGCCCAGATATAACCAAGGAAGACTTTCCAGGAGTCCAGGAATTCTCCCAAATTTAAAATATTTAACCAGAAAGCAGCTATGTCTACCCAGACCACCCGAGCTGCCAGGGGCTACTTCAGAAATACCATCAGTGCCTCAGGACAGCTCTCCGTGGAGAGGTAAACAAGAGTCCCATGGCCACTGCCATGAAAAATAATAGGTCGCCCTTGAAAACAGAGAAGCTAAAACAGCTAGAAAGAGAAAACTCTATTTTCAATGTCAACACTGTTTTGGGTTCCTGGTACACAGAAATGGTAGAGTACAGTTCATCCATGTGAAAATATGATACACAGAAGTCAGCCAAAATCCCACAGATGTCACAGGGGCGGGCTGTATGAGGGCAAAAGTTGCTCACTGCCAGGCCCACTTTCTCTCCTTTTCTGATATTAAAATGCATTACTGAGAGAGGACCTGCCTTGACTCAAACCCGTGCAGTTAT